TGTGCTTTCTGATCTGTGTTATAATGTTGTTTTTATATATCTGGGGTTGTGTTTTGTTTTATTCACACATGTTTAACACACATACCATGCATATTGAGGCTGAGTGCTTTGATCTCTGTTCCACCTTGTGAAGTCATAATATACGAAGTGTTTTCAAACTCCATGCAACTTCGTTAGAATCATTTGTATCATTTCAGCCCTGGAATTTCCATTCTCTATTGAACTAAAAGCAAAAAGTAGTTGTGAACTTGAAAACTGCCACTAGATGACATCACAAGGTAGAACAGAGCATTTTGAGCTTTGGGGATGTAGTCAGACTAATAGTAAAATACAGATTCAAACATGTGTGACTGAAACAAAACACACCTCCAGGTATGTTTCTGAGGAGGTGATAACTTTATAACATGGCTTTAAGCTTACAAGAATACATTTTGTGTAATATAGGACCTTTAATATAATGTGCTAATAATAATGTCAGTAATTATTATAGAGATTTATATAGAGTATTCTAAATTAGCATTGCTCACACTCCAAAGCACATTATATCTCACCATTTAGTTTGGCAGTTCAATTCCAATGTGGTTTATTTTGCCCATGCTAGCTGTTTTTGCATTTGTAATCACATCCAATTGTCCCACAGTAGCTCATTTCCTCTGGGGCTCAAGTATATGAAACAACACAGGAACCCGCTATTAAGATATGATTTTGATTTAAGTCATCATAGTTATTATAATCAGCCACAAAGAATTACTGCTGATTGCTGCATATTTTGCATGTGATTAGAGTTAGCACTTAGGCTGTGCCAGTACACCCCAAACCGCCCTCACCCTCCCCAGTAATGACAGCACTGGACGCTCTGTGATTGGCTCCTGATGGCCTTGTGCACTGAAGGTCTGATAACTGACCACACTCAACGTTCTTTCAACATTTTCTATATTTCATTACATTTAGGCATTTATCAAATGTGTCTTATAAGATAAAAGAACCTCTATTGGTCCCACAATCAGAACGTTTCAGCAATAGAGTGATTAATAATATACATTTATCTATATTGACTCGCTATGTTTTTACATCAGAAGAGAAATCATATAAAATCATTTCCTTGGTAACGTTGTCTGATGGAGTTGGTACCACTGGCTCTTTTGCTACTGAATGTGTTAAATTAACCAAGATAACAAACAAGTGCAAACTGTCTACCATTGTCTACCAATAGGTGAAGTTGAATTAAAACTATAATCATGATTTGGCTCATATTTTAAATCACAGTGATTTCAAGTGATTACTTCAATAAATGTACCGATACAGAAAGAATCAAACCGCTATAGTTTGTCCGCTAAACAAGTGCTCTAGGTTTTACTGAGCAGAACGAGTACACATACTGTATCAGCCACAAAGTTAATTAATTATCAGAATAAAGTTAATTCATTGCATTTTTTTATTATAGCGTAAATGTAATTGAATATAGCAATAACTCAAATCACAATTATATTTTAGCCAAGAAAATATGGATACAAACTCATTTACATTTCAATAAACTTGTGCAACTGCAAATGTAATGGCATTAACATTTTGATTCTCATGAGATTTATTGCAATTGATTGATTTTGACTTATTTCTTTTCACATCAATCAATCCAAATTTTCATAACCACCTCTATGGATTTTTCTTGGTGGCCCATTTTTGAAAAGTAAGTGAATTTGAAAATGTGCGTAAAAACCTCCAAAAGATTACTTCCCTAAAGCATTACACATTTGAAGATATTTGAAGATATTACCAAACGCACCCGGGTGACTTTACAAGATAGCGGAGATTAAACGGGGAGATGTAGCTCTGTAACATACTTATTCTAATCATATTTCACTTTCTTAAGCTTTCCAAATCGCAGTCCTAGTTACATATTCATGGAGCCAAAACGTACCTGTGAGTCACTGAAGAACTCGGGGCATGCTGAAGAGGATTAAAAGTTGTGTGACTGCTCCAGGCAAGTGTGGAAACCATTAGATGTTTGCTTAAATTTATTTTTAAAAATGTGGGAGAAGTTTACCTCTTAAATTCAAGTGTAACTGAGGAGCTGTATACAGAATCTCACCTTGAGCAGTAGTCAGTGGTTAGAGCAAAGCAGCTGTTTCAAAGGCCCATTAAAAGCAAAGGTGACTGCACAGCACACATAGCACACTTTATCATACTTGCTCTTTTGTCTCGCTGACTGCCCTGTTCTGTTGGTAAATGATTTTTGTATTTTTCCCCAAAGGAGGAATAAGGTTAAATCAAGATAACTGCGATTTTGAGCAAACTTTGACTTAGCATGTCTGTCGAATCTGCTGGGAGTTATAGTCTGGGCTTGACATGGATTAAAATAGACTGTTTTAGAATTAACAAGGGCTCACATCCTGGCGGGGCGTCGGAACTGATGTAATAAGACTATTTATAGGCCAAGGTTAGCCCATAGTGTTTGATTTTTATTTACACAAAGCTGTTCTGTAGTGACTTAAAGTTGCACTGCATAACATTTTTAGTGGAGGGCCTGCCACCTGCTTGCCTCCATGGAAATGCTTTTGCTTTGTCTAGAATGTTCCACAGTATAGTTTAAACATATCTATCACGAGGGAGACAATCAAGTTACAGGACTATTCTACATTACATTTCAGATCTGTGGAGAGTCACCCCTTTTCACGGAATAAATTATTGTGTTTTTGAGCAATGCTTAATGCCATACCATGGAACATTACAGGGAAAGCAATAACATATCCATAGAGACAAGTAGGTAGCAGATTTCCCATCAAAAACGTTACACAGTGCACCTTTAAAGGATAAATAATAGGGCTGTAACGTAAATGTAAAATCTCACAATAATGTCATGGGCTGTGACAATATATCGAATCACAAGTTCCTTTGCTTAAATGCATGGTTTTATAGTAGCAACAGCTTATAAACATAGGGAACTACATATCCCATGATTCATTTCAGTGCAGACAACATGAAGAAATATGTATTTACTTGAATTCTTGGGATTATGACATAATGATTCACACCAAAATCTTGTCAAGGTATTTTAAAAGCAAAAGAGTGTCCCATCTACAATTATATTAGCGTCTTCGAAATATCGCAATAAATATCATACCGTGAGATGCATATTGTGATAATATTATACCATGACATTTGGATATCATTACATCCCTAATTAATAATAGTAACATAGCACAATTAGGTCGGTTTTGTTAAATTTAGTTTGTATTCGAGGAAATCATAATTGTATATTTGGTATCAGTAAATATTTAAAGACAAATTATTTGTATTGAAACTAAAAAGGCTGCATTGGGACAGCCTTAATGTCTCAATAAAAGAGCAAGACAGGAACACAGAAATACACAAATGCAACATATTATGTCCTGATCACATGGGTTCACAAATTAAATTAAGAAGTTTGCTACCGTTAGATACATTATGGCTTAGTGAATACAATTTATACTTTGCAGTAACATACTGGGCGTACTTTACATCTCTAATGATGTAACTTCTAAACATTCAATCATTAAAGACCCCCACAATGCACACACAATGTACACACAATGTACACATAATGCACATTAGCAAACACAGTTAAAAATCGTCTTCAAGAAAAGCAAAACAAAACAAACAAACAAACAAAAAAAACATGGATTTAAATAATAAAATGGATTTTCTGGACCCTGTGTTCAATATGAGCATTTAGATGTTTTGATTTTCAACAAAAAAGTGAGAGTGACTAACTGCAAAACTGTTGGCTAATGCGAGATTGCGAGATTTGGGAAATGCCTTGATATGGGTCTATGGTACTTTGTGGTGTGTCCTAACTTTTCTCTATATGACTTTGTGACGGAGTCAGTCCGTCTATGATTTTAGGTGGCGTTCTCCCCCCTACACATAACCGCGGCCTGCACTGATGTGCCCGCGCACACACACGCTGATTCATCCCGCACACACGAGTTCACTCCCCATTTCCCCGCTGTTTCATTCATCCGCGTCGTATTCACTATTATTGCCTTTTCCCCTCTTTCCTCCGTTACTAATTCGCCAAGGGTGCACACTTGAGCGCATTAGAGTACTTTATTTCATACTTGTCTCTTACCTGTCCAATGACGCCGTCTCTCTCCTTCGACGCGGCGCACCTCTGCCAACCCGAGCCACTATTTCCTGCTAGTTGAAATAGGCACTGTTCGCGCCGTGGTGCTGACCATGTGACGCTCGTTATGTAATATGATTTTCTTCACGTTTTTCAGCTATTATTTTTGACATTTAATGTACTTTATTACTGTGTGCTCAACATAGCATAGACAAGGTAGGTTTATTGTGATATTGTCTGTCTCTATAATGATTTTGATGTATTGCTCAGTGGGAGGAGCCAGGAGGGGATAAAGGAGAGCCGTTTCTGGCTGTCAATCAGTCTGCCACCGGTTACAGAGCAGATAACGTCGGTATGCTGAACAAGGATCTTAAAGGGGACAGTTAATGCTGAACTCGACCCTGTTTCTTTGCTGTAAATACTTTTTGGACTGTTTTGCGCACTGTAAATATTTTTGCACTGTTTTGGGGATTTTTTGCACTTTGGACACTGGCACAATAAACCACCTGCACTTGGAATTTTGATCTTGCCTGAGTTTTTAATAGAGCCCTGCCACAGACTTATTGACAGCCAGTACAGTGTATATATAAACAAAACTAATGGCAACTCTTCAAGGCTCAAATCCAACACAAAACATCATCATTTGCATCATAAAGTCATAAAGAAATTGCATATTTTCCAGTGCATTCAAACACCATAATAGAAGCCTTTAATGTATTGCTCTCCCTGCTTCTGTATCTTCATGAGCTTTCATATGGTCAGAATCAAGTAACGAACAGGGAAAATTCAATATAGCGTCTCCACCAATGCATTCTAATGAGGAAGAGCCCTTTTTAATTTTCCACACGTCCACATTGGATAAATGAATTCAGCTTTGTGTGTTTTGGGTTTCTTCCAGATATTAATGAGTGTGAACGGGAGCCCTGCAAGAATGGAGGCATCTGCACAGACCTGGTGGCCAACTACTCGTGTGAATGCCCTGGAGAATACATGGGCCACAACTGCCAGTATAGTAAGTAGAATGGTACAACTGTTTGCACCTCAAATATTAGACCATTAAACACACTTCTGCTGACTTGGGCTGTTAATTATGATTTAAATTAGCTCTCACAACTCTACTACTTTTATAGAGCCCCCCATAGGCTGTTCACACATGGATACATGCTGGGAAGTGACATAAAGCTACTCACCAACAACCATTGACTTCAACATGATTTCCGCTATAGACTAATTCACATTATACATCCTTTAAAGCAAAAAATCACTCTTGAGCTCTAAGCCATGTCTCTACAAAAACATGCTCGCAGTTGTGTTTTGGTTCATTCACACATGTCTGAGTAATTCTGCATTATTAGTCTGTCTACATCTCCAAAGCTCAAAATGCTCAGTTCCACATTGTGATGTCATGAGGTAGTAGTTTTCAAGTTAAGAGCTCCTTTTAGTTCATTAAAGATTGGCAATTCCAAGACTGAAGTCATCCAAATGGTTCTACTGAAGGTGTATGGTGTTAAAAAAACAAACAAATTGTGGATCACTTCCTGTACTGACACATGACAAGGTGGAGTGGAGTGTTTTCTGTCTGAGAGAAGAACTGAGCCTAAATATGCAGTATCTGTGTGTTAAACATGTATGAAACAAAACACATGGTATGTTTTGATGAGGAAACAACATTATAAGATACAGTTTATCAGAAAACATGTGTTATTTGCTCCCTTTAAAGGTGCGCCTGCTTGTCTCCATGGATATATTGTTGCATTGCTTGGAATGTTTCATAGTAAGGCATTAAATGTATATCTAGCATTTCATCAGATTATTACAAAAACTTGCTGTGTGAGATAGATTAGACAAACAAGTGACCCTCCACAGTTATGGAATTTTAAAAAATGAAATGTATCCTGTTTTATGTGTAATAGCTAATGCCATGCCTCTCCGTGCTGGGACAGGCTCTGCCCAATATAAAATCATTGAAATGCATAAAAGCTTTGGCAAAGTAAAACTTCTATTTCTTTTTGTGACGCTATCTTATGTCACGTTTTTCAATTTTTCTCACATTTGTTGAACATTTTGTCTTTTTTTTTATTTATTTTTTTTATCAGGGAACATTTTAAGATTTAATTTGATCTCATGCTGGGTGAATGTGCAAATGGACCTATCCACAGTTTAGTCTGAACTGTTGGCAGCCTGTGCCTTATGTTGAAATGGGCATTGCATTTTTCAGAGAAAGAGGAGAAGAAAAACAATTGAAAGCTAAGCTCCATAATTGAGTTAATGATGCTCAGACCTATTTCCTCTGTGGATTAAATATTTGCAGAACAAATTACAAAAGTATGAATTCTCTCAGCATATAAAAGGTGCAAAGTGTTCAAATTTTATTCTTCTTTTTTGCCTTCCATCCAAATGTGCACTAAAACAATGCTGACTCATAGTATTGCTTATAATGTAATATAGCAGATGAAGTGTGTAGAAATAGGGCACTTTTTAGTGATATTTCCTCATGGCATCAGAAGGCCATAAAGCTGCTGTTCAATAGTAGTGGTGTTCACATGCCCACAGCCTAAATACCCATATAATACCCATATAATCCTGTAGAGAGAATCACTGGTGGCAGATGTTTAGCTAGTATGAAAAATATACACCAAGTTCTAGGCTTATCAAAAGTATTGAAAATCAGATACTAACCAATTGTAAAACTAGTATTGAAACTACTCATTTGCACATGTATAGATACTGAAAGAAAGTCAGGACAAAATTTGACTGTTCCTGAACAGTTTTAGAATGGTGTTGGGCTTTATCAAAACTAGTATAAGGCCACAAGGTAACAAGTTGCCATGTTTACTTTACATTCTCAAATCTTCTCTCTGGACATGCACTGTGTTTCAAATGTAGCAATATTGCAAATAACAACATATATATTTTTTTTAAGTATGGACTGCTATTAAAGTACGGACTGCTTATTTTTAGGTCTAGTTAAAAATAAACTCTGAAACTGCGCTTTACTGATGATAGTCACACGTATTCTTCTGAGTGCTTCAGGGTTGTTATTGCTGTAATCATCCAGAGCCTTTTCCCATTTAAAAACAATGATAAGGGCTAAATGGGCAGTTAAAGGCGCATACTGAACAGAGGTGATGACGGTACAGGCCTCATTAACCAAAGGCATCTTAAGGCTAACAATAACCATCAGCGAGAGATGTTGTCACAGACTTTTCCACTGCACAGCCATCGTAAGACTCTTTTTCCCTTAAAATGAGGTTAAAATGGTCATTGTTAAGAGAGTAAGTTTAAATTAGTGTAGTTATTTAAATTTAAGTGCCACTGTGAAATATGCGGCTTCATACAGATCATCATTGGGTTAAACAAAGTTTAACATGATCAAGATGAAATCAGCCTCAAAACATGACTTCAAGCATCACCAGTAGAAGGATGAATATTACCAGTGGTATCAGTACCACAGTTTGAGAACTACTTCTACTAGTATATGTTAATATGCAGATAGAAGTGGGGCTCCTTCATTTCGTTCATTACCTGTAGAACTTTTGTTGTATGGCCAACATCTGCTTAGTATTATGTATTCCTCTTTTTCACGCTCCCTCTGCTCATTAGTATTGACACTGTGTTCATTTGAGTGGGTGTCTAATTTGTTTAGGCTGTAGGTAGGGCGTGTGTGGGAGAGATGGATTCAGCTGTCAGGGGCCAGTGCTTGTGTTAGTGATGGCTGCTGTCTGGCTGATGTATGCTCAGGGGCCACTAGGCCAGGGCCCCGAGGCCCCGTGTCTCCTCCGGCTGACGGACGCGTGGCAGCAGCTCGTTAAGAGTGGCCGTCAGACCAGGTGAGAGCCCACCGGGAGAGTCACCATATCCACACTAATGCTCTGGTGATGCAACAGTGCACTGTAGCCTCTGCAACAGACGGGGTCAAAAGTGTGACCATTACAATGCAAAGTCAACCTTGGGTTAAGCATACATAAATATATGGTACTTTAAACATAAATAATGATTGGTTTTATATAAAATGTCATTCTTTGTACAGAAATGCCCTGCCTTGTTAGGCACAGGACATGGGGTTTGAGTCAGGGAGGTGATACCTAGCCTAGAACACTATTAGAAATCCAACTTTGCTTGGGTGCAGTGGTTCATTGCACATTTTCTATAATTTGATTTATAATTTTCTGTTAATCTTTTTATTTATTTACAGTAACAATTCAGGTCAACCATGTATTATTTCATATTCATTGGCTTCTTAGCAATAACAAAATCACACGAACAATATCTACTCTGCCACTAAGCCTCCATTCAGCAATAATGACCCTAAACATGTGTATATGAAACCACAACTAAACTGGTACTTGACACTGTTGAAGTACCATCGTTCATATGTTTGCTGCATACACCTACACCACCCTCTCATACGCAGCAAATGGTGAGTCAGACACCATAAAAAGTGTGGCCCCAGAGATTTACCTTAGTGAAATATAGAAACACACACATCTCTGTGCGTTCTCAAAGGCATTTCTCACTGTCTATGGTGCACTCCCTATAGCCCTGAGCCTATGGTGTAGCAGCTGGTGAGGACTTGTTTTCATTGTTTCATTCTTCTTTTGACTTTTCTGTGCTATCATTTTTATTATTGTCTTTTGGCTTGGGTCTCAGGTCCTTTTTAAATGCTAACAGTACATTTGGAGTTGAAGTCTCAGCTTTTTGGTGACCGTTGCTTGGGGCGCTGCTTCAGGGCTACTTTATATGGACATTTCACATTGTATCGAGCATGAGAGCCCAATGCCTGTGGCTGGACTTTGTGACTGCCATGTCCTGGCTCTTTTGGGACTAGACTTGAGTGGAGCTTCCCCTCACACTTCTGGATTACATTTCACACATGAACACACTGTAGTTTGGTAACAGGAATTGCATCATCAGTCTGCTGTTGGAAAGGCCACTGCAAATTTTAAACATTATTTATTGGGTGACCTTTTATAATAACTGTTCCTAATTAGCCTTAATAAAGCATGAAGAAATGCTTCATTCATAATTAGTGAATTGTTTATTAAGAATAATTCAGGCTTAGTAGAGAGTTGGTGTTAGATAAAATGTTGTCTGTGACATGACTTCATGAAACATACTGTCTTTAATAACTAATACTTAATAAATACCCTAATTCCTAACCTTATCCCCCAGTTAAATAGTCACTAAGCCTGAATCATGTGAGGTGTAGTTTTTATAAAATGTAACCATTCAGGGCTAATTTGCGAGAAATCCATTACATTCTTTCAATTTTCTGAATGAAAGTTAAGATGTAATTGCCTCCTGTGATTGGGATACATGTTGGCAGAACTCAAAACACTGATAATACTGATGTTTGTTTGTCATTTGTCAGTGTTCACTAAAAAAGAGTGTGCGGATCTTCACTTTCATCGTTTTACATAATTAGGATTCTAGATATTTTGCTTCCTCAATTGATTCCCAGTATTAATTTTAACACATGCAGGTGGTTTTTGAATGGAAAAATACATTTTTGAGAGACTGTGCTTAGATTTTGACTTCATCTTTATTAACTTGAAGCAATGTTATGTTACAAATACAACTGTATACTATTATGGTCTCAGTTGTCATTCCAGATGATTAACTGTGAGTACAAACTGAAAAATAGCACTAGGAGGCACTAATGTTGATTTCTTGGTTACAAAAACACACAATAAGAAAGTTTTACACACAAAGATGCACATATAGCTAACTATAGCCACCTTATAGCCATCTGCTGGGGAGAACAATCCAGGGCCAGACTGTTTAGGTTGTTTGGTAGCGTACCTCCATGCCCAATTATGAAGCTTCTACCTGCTCAGTTAACTTATAATTGCGGAGGCAAACTGCCACGTTCCTGTGCATATTGCCTTCTAATTGAATCCTTCCAGAGCACTAGGAATCTATCAAAACCTGATGCGATCTGATAGAAAAGGCAGATGTTTTATATGTAAATGAGCAATTAAGAAAATCTCATTAGGCTGGAGGTACCTTTTTAAACGCCTGATATTACAATGTTGACAGTGCTGTTTATTTATCCAGTACAGTGAGTGCTGTAATGTCCAATGTATTTTCAGAATTCATGGTTCATTTTCCATCTGTAGAGACAAGTTGTGTTTTCCCTCTCTTCCTCTTTCTCTATTGGATTTTTAAATGACTAAATCCATCAAAATCTGTTCAATGCAGAATAGTGGCTTCTTTTAGCTCTACAAAATCTCTCATGAAACACAGTGAAGAATACAATCATGTACAAATGAAAAGTGTATTGATTTGCCCAGAGCTACTTTAAGCAAATCAATTTAAAATTTGGTGAATTGTGAATCAGATCAATATGTTTTGTGGATCCTAAAGGTTTACTTGTACAAATACTGTAAACATATATACATTGACATTAATTAAGAGACATTTGGATTAAAGGTGATGTACCTGAGTTATACAGTCTTAAAATGTGGGAAAATGAATTAATCCAGTTTAAACAGTATATGCAGTGATCCCCCCTTACCTTATGCATTGCAATCATCCTAATTATTCTCTGTGATGACTTTTCACATCTTCCAGAGACCAGTTCAGAGTTTTGCTGTGATGTAAAGCTAAAAGCAACCAGCCAATAAAATACTATCTAATTAGATGCAGATTTTGACCTCAAGAGCTTCTTATACAATATACCTGAACTGAGGCAAGAAAGAATTATTTGGATTTTTGTGAAAGCTGCTCTGAATATGAAAAGACCAAAAGAAAACTTGCAGTGTCATACATCAACTTAAAAAGGACACAATCACTGACATTACATCTTGACATTTGTGCTCTTGCTCTAAATTTGAATTCACATTTGGTTTACATGAATAATGGCGCCTCATTCTTTGCCCTCTCTCTTCAGAATGCTCCGGACCGCTGGGCATGGAGGGCGGGATCATCTCCAACCAGCAGATCACAGCCTCTTCCACTCACCGTGCACTCTTCGGCTTACAGAAGTGGTACCCCTACTTCGCCCGCCTCAACAAGAAAGGCCTGGTCAACGCCTGGACCGCTGCCGAGAACGACAGATGGCCCTGGATCCAGGTACTGAAGCCTCACAACACACACTCAGCCATTTTGGAAAGCAGGCAAATACACATATACTGTACTTAAACAATGTCATGGTTTAGTGCCTTTAAGTACTTGACCATTTAGAGGTTAATTTGCTGGGAACATAAATTAAACTTGAGAAAAGTGATGACTTACTTCCCTGGTATTTAATACAATTACAAAGTGTGATCTTGAGTATTACAGATGCAGATGTGCTCATGTGTGTAGAACAGTGCAAAAGGGCAAATCTATTCTGAGGTCCTCATACCTGCATGTGGTAATTACAAACCTGAACTTTATAATCCTACATGGTAACTATATGCATTGGACTGTAATCATCATTTTATAAGAGATGCAAATTTACAAGAAAAAATGCTCCTGTAGTCAAGCTCATAACCCTTTATAAAGTTCTCATTTTAGCATAAAAAAGAAGCTGTTAACTTTGGTTAGCTGCATAGTGAAGGCTGTTTGAACAGATTGTCTCTGTTATAATATTGTAATTTAAGTTACAAAAATAAAACAGTTCAGTTCAATCAATTCAATCTATTCTCCAAAAAACTCACATGTTAAATGCTTTTGTCTGTCACATTAACAAGAGTTTATCATTTAGCAAGTTAAGATGATCACATACTCCAGAGGATCTCTTAGACAATGTTCATGAAAGTGAATTCAGTATTTCACAAATGTTTGATCACAGTGTTAATAATTGTTAGTAATTGTGATATTTATTAACCCCCTTTATTAAACTCCTTCTTTAGACTCCTTCTTTAGACTCCTTTAGTTTGCTTTGTTTGGATATTTTCATCTGATGTGTGCATGAGTGATGGTAGTGGTTGGAGGGGCCGATGGCGGCGATTGGCAGCCTCATTTCCGTCAGTCTGCACCAGGGCAGCTGTGGCTACTATAGTATCTTACCACTACTGGGTATGGAGTGAATGAATAATGCTCTATAGACCATCTTTGAGTGTCCAAAAAAGCGCTATATAAAACTGATGCAATATTATTATCTGAAACTATTCACTTACTAAATAAAAAATTGAAAGTAGTGAGTAGATGCCAGATTATAAGTGTTGACCATGCATAAAGTGATGACCTTATATTTTTTGGCACCCTTCTTATGGTGAGATTTCTTATGCCGCCCTCCCTGGTCACACCCTCAATAATAAATAGTCTAATAAAAAGTGGGTACTTTGTTTTGCCAGCATATTTGTAAGCATTAGTCCATTAATTAGAAACCTTGGATAAAATTCTTGATTAATCTTGTAGCTGGGGGGTCAGGGAAAATTTTTTAACAAAACAGAAGGAATCTCCTGTAATCCGGGGTAAATTACATCAACAGATAATTTTTGACAGTAGTTAATATCTGTGCAGTAGTCATACATAATGATGTCTCCACAATTCAAAGTGGAGTCCAAAGCCCAAAACTTTAATTCAGACTCATACTTTATGACTCATATTTTATGTTGCTTCTTTAAGAATTTAGAAGTGTGGAGAAAAATGTGTCACAATCCGTTGCAGTATGGTTGCTATTACATCTATACATGGATTAGTTCATCAGCTGTTTGTCATAAGTCCATGAATAAGTATGCAAAAGACCAAAAACCAGAAACTAGGACTGAATGATTTCAAGAAAAAATGTAATTGTGATTTTTCTGGCGGATACTGCAATTTCGATTTCATCCACATTTTTTTTTCAAATCAAGTATCAGTGCACATGAACATCACAAAAACTTACATCATACCAGATACCTGCACTGGGTCGGGTGCCTGCGGGTGCGTGGCGTGACTACTGCTGTCAAAAATTCGTCATCACTTCACAGGCATTATTTATTGAACAGAACAAACATTGATCGAGATGCGGGACTTTTACGCCGCATACGGACTGAACCAGGACTAAACCAGGACTGAACCCGAACTAAACCAGGACTAAACTAGGACTGAACCAGGACTACACCAGGTCTTCAATTAATCATTAATGTTTTATATAAAAATTAAAAAATTATTATCATCATTATTATTACTATTACTAATCTGCATAAATAAACTCAACTTTACAACATATAAAACATAACCACTATAGAGCCACATCAGCCCCGTTTGAGATTAGAATGTGTTTAACACGGCTTTGCATGTATTTGTTTACATTTTAGAGAAACAAAACTTAAAACCACATGGCTCATTTGCATACACTTCAAGTTCTGAAAAAACAGTTTGCTCTTTGTGCGCTGATGCCGAACTAAAAGACACGACTCAGTGGAATATTGGTGTTCTTTCTGTGACAGAGGTATGCTGATGATGCATACATGTGTGAAATAGTTGACGGATCAAAACCTGGGTTAGTTAGGAGCACTGTAAAAAAACACACTTTTGACGCTCCCAAAATCATGTTGTCTGAGATCACTATTTTCGGTCCAAAACGATAGAGTAAAACTGAGTAAAAGCTTAGTGGATGTAGAGCATCGTTTCACAAACCATTTTCAAAACAGTTTGAGTATTTGACTTTGCACTATACACTGTTAATGATCAGGTTCATTTAGGTACATTTTAAGTCACTGAGCACAGCACATGGGGCAACAGCTGGCACTTCTCCTGTCACCATGTGCCTTACAGTTTACCTGTACTGCCTATGCCATAGGCTTTGTCTGCCTGTGTAACAAAGATGTCCTCCTTCTTGTGTGACATACATGTATTCAAACACATGTAGACATATTCCATTTCCATCTGAACAAGAGCTCAAAAAATAATTGGAATCTAAAAGACTCATCTTAATCTCAACTGTGAACCTCATCTGAGATAGGTACATACTCCTGTATTTTTTGTCTTGGCATGATCGACAGAAACGCTGACAGCAACTTTTTAAAATACTCTTATCAGATTCCCTTACGCACAGACGCTGAACCGTGAACAAAATATAATCAAAAAACAAAGACAACACAGTGATGGGGAAAAGTCAAGGCACCAAAGCGCCGACAGGTTGGTAATGAAAAAGGATGAATTGGTAAAAGCATGGCAGATAGAGACAGAGGGGAGAGACAGACATCTTGGCACATGGCTGAGAGCAGAATACCACACCATCCTAGCGCCTGTTTGACTTTAATGATGCCACGTGGGACGACATGAGAGGTGCTGGAGGCATTGCGCGGCGCTACAGAGGGAGCTGGTAATTGGGACGTGAGTACAGAGGTGTAGTCATGTCAGTGATTTGGGATTATGCTAAGAAGAAGAAGGAGTGGTGAGGGGCTTGCCTACGTGCTGTTTTGTGGCATGGGGACAGCTTTTCCTCTCACATGACAGGCCAATCAGCAGAGATGCGTGTGTGAGTGTGTGTATGCCATGTTAGCGGTCTGTGTTGGATAGATATCTGTCAGATCAGCAGTGGTGGAAGAAGTACAGAGTTTTGTTACTCCAGTAAAAGTACAGATACAGGGGCAAACCATGACTTGCTAAAAAAGTAAAAGTATCACTTGAAAAAATCTAAAAGTAAATGTATGTGATATGTAATAGATAACCCTATGTCATGTCAATCATTATTTTATCTTTACACTGCTTCTCCTTACAACCACCTATATATAACTGAGATACATTTATATTTCTATATTTTATTTTTACTTGTTCAAATACATGTGTATAATTATGCCTTATTGACACCAGCCTTTTTCTATTTTTGCTATTTGTTCTGAAAGTGTTATTACCATTTATATTTTTGCACTTTGTTAATATAATATATTGTGATGTTTAAGCAGCTGTTTCCAAATAATTTCCAAGTTAATCTGTAAAATTTGTATTCCACATCAATTTGAAAAACTATTAAGAAGTCAAATATAACCCTGATAAATAAATTAGCAGATTTTTTTTTTTTTGTCATCAGATGGCACTGAATCTGTTTAATTTTTCTGGTCATTTTTACTCGTCGATGTCTGTTAAACTTGGGACATTCAATATTTTCAGGCAAGACATCACCAAGAAAAAATGTGTCTACTTTTCAGTACATATGCAGGATCTCAAATGTAGTGTAAAGTAAAAGTACTGTAAATACAGTACATTTACTTGAATACTTTGTTACCTTCCACCACTGTAGACCAGCCTCCCTCCTATAAAATGCCTGTAAAAAGCCCTGACAAAAGAGTGGAGCGCAGACTCTAGCATTGAATAATACATCATAGTGATTCAAACAGGCATGCTTTACTCTGTGTGTGTGTTTATGAAGTGTGCATGTGTGCGTCTATATCTGGCACGCCACTTGGAGCTGCTCACACAAAAAATTGCATTTGAAGACTCCAGGGAAATATGTTCCAGGTCTGACCAATATGAGGCAGAAAGTAGTAGCTGCTGCTGTAGTGAGCAGTGTTGTGAAATGAAACAAAGCAAATCAGCGGTGAAGCCTAAGAGGGCTATACATAATTTAATAGGAGCTAAACAGTTAATGACATAATGGAAGGACACAGGGCTCCGTCAGGCACGGGCTCTGGCTTATATGGGAAAGACTGCAGACTCTTGTGGTTTGCTATAGGAAGCACAGGCATTGTACAGAAGAGGGAGAGACACAACGAAGGATGATTTTATTGTCCCACATATGGACTGACACATTTTCACACACTTAAATCAAATCAGACATATAATCAGCATGCAACTGCACTGTAAAAGGAACTCTAATCACAAACAAAGAGCCTTGTGCAGCTATGACCTTAAACACAGTAAATAAATGGTATATTGATTGAATTATATGCCTACATCTGTAGCAGACAGATACCATTTATAATCAAATGTGTGTTCTTTTGATATTCTAAGAAAAGTATCTTCTGTAGTGGATTGAAGCACAAAAACAGGTCATAACACTTGAGTTCTTGTAAAAACACTCCCTGATGGGCATTGCCAATGGTTCCATGCTGAGCATGTTCTCAATTCAAAGAGGACTCTTTAGAAAACAGGTTAAATCACAACATGCAGATACCAGGTGTTCGAACAAAGCAAAGACACTTTCTGTACACTTCACACGTGGCCCACTGCTGGTTTGAGAGAGCTATGAAGCATCCTGAACATACATTTTATTTAAAGATGCCTTATGGGCAGTGTTGGGAAGTAACTCAATACATCTACCACAAATAGTACATATTCTGAATATTTATTTTGACTTTTCCGGTACAGTTCCTTTGGCTCTGAACTGCATGGTATTAGTTAGAAAAAAAGAAAACATACATTTTAATTCAGATATTCAGTATTCTCTAATTAAATGCATTTTCAAAGTGTACTTCCCATCACTGGTTATGGGACTTGTTCTGCTGGAGGGTCCACCATTTGTTTGTCTCCTTGGAGATAATATTGCTTTGCCTGGAAAGTTTTGCATTAAAAGCATCTGTCCGGTATTTATTATTTTATGGCAAAGAAATTTAAAAAAAAATCTACATATATCTTATTCTGAGTGAAAAGTATAACCTGTAACTTGACCTGATGGCAAACAGATGACAGACCGTCCATTTTATTCTTTTGTACTCATTTATTGTTTCAGTTTGTTGATTTGACTGAATGATTTTGTTTTTGGTTGTGTTGTTTGGTTTTACTGTTTTAATTTATCTTTATTGTTTTCATTTTACTAAAGCAACTACTAAATTTGCTCATTGTGTATTTGACCACCATGTGCAGCACTTTGGAAGCAGCTTTGTTTATAAAATGTGCAGTAGAAATGAACTGAACTGGATCTTAGTGAGGAAATCATGCCTGTGGATATATTGTTAATTTGTGAAGGAAAATGAGTCCTAATTTCCTCTGAGCTTAAACCATTATTGTTGCTTATTCCTGACATATACTTCCTGCACAGATCTACAAAAGCAGTACAGGCCAAAGGTTTTTGAAGTGAGCGATGTTGTCTCTGATGCCACAGTCAAACAAATGCATCACTATTAGCGGTCATGTGACAGAGGCGTGTTTCTGAAGGATCACCCCAATTAACTCGCCCATGGCCTTTTGGTGACAAGCCTTCTAATTAGTGAGAAGTATCCATCTGTGGCTAGAGTAAAGAAATGCTCACGAGAGGCTTATTACAGAGGGGGCCTCAAAGAGTGGTCCTCATGCATAATTAACAGTCATTAAACAACAGGAGATTGTGGTGAATACAAAGGTAACAGCATGGTTGACATGAAAGGGGCAATACATAGTAGAACGCATTCAGTTTTAAGACAATTGCATTATATCTGTCTAGGTACTGCTCTGTGATTTGCAATAGTTTTATGCCAGATGCCCTGGTTGCACTGATTCTAAAATTCCAGTTTGATTTTAAGGACAGGCAGTTTTAAATACCACTTTATTAGACAGCAGAATGACATATTAGCATAAATAATAGTATTATGCAGAATTTGTGTATTAAACGTGTGTGAATGAAACAAAATACAACTCCAGGTATACAACATTATATCATAGATCAGAAGCGGCCCTTTTAAATAGCAATTAGAATATGTATCATTATATATTTGAATTTAGTCATTAAAATCACACTGTGCAGTTTATCCAGTGTATTCATAATAACCAAATATATGTCTTTTTATTATAATTTTAGGTGTTTATTTTAGTACTTGTAATACATTTCTAGTGCTTTTTTTATTATTATCCTTGTAGGGAAATTGTCTTGTGCATTTCACCCATCCTTTCAGGAGCAATGGGCAGCACATGGGGTGCCTGGGGACTCATCTTTATGATCTTGTTGCTGGGTTTGGTCAGGACTACCTAGCTGGAGGATTTTACCTACAGTATGGTGCATGTTTCTTGCACCATAGGTTGCCTTTTTAAATTTTTTGTACCATCTTTTTAAATTATTTGTTTTTGTTTCACCCTTGGGTCTTCAAAGAAAACAAAGTATTTGCCATATTAACATGTAAACATTGTATTATTATGAACTGAGTAAGTTGCATTTGGATTGATAATGTGGAGTTTTTTTTATCACTTCTTTTCATATCTCTAATGCTCAGTTTTCTCTTTTGGCCCGTCACTTTGTCACTTGAGAGTGGACATCTGCGGAGTGTTTTTCCCATCCCTATAAAAACAGTTGGTGTGAATGTGGTGTTAAAATGATTAATGGATATCTGTCATCACTCTCCGTAGTCTTCATCGCTCATTTGTTTATAGAAAATGTCGAGAGAGGATTTGAGTCTTTTTGTTTGGTCCCCTGTAGTGTGGATCTGTGACTCAGTGCTCCTTGGCCCCAAAGGCTTTGTCACACTGTTATAATGAAGTGAGCTGTCGGCAACTGTCAAAGGGTGTTAAGGAAAAATTTAAAATCATGTCTCGTCTCGTTTTTAAACAAGAAAACAGAATTACAGGGTGGCCGAGGTTTCAGTCCATGTGTTAGCGTTGAGAAAAAACATCACTTATGTTCCCTGCCAAGAAGCTATTACTCACTTAAAGGGATTTGTATTTAATGCTCGGCTCACCTATTCTGCAATATAAAGCATGCAGTTAGCTTTTATCAGTAAATGTCCATGCGCATTGTACGATGTGTTATATATGCATTTATAAATCTATTCATATTATTTTCAAGCGGAACTGGGTTGACAAACAGAAGTAAAACAAGAGTGACTTTAGTATCTATATGAACCTGTGCCCAAAAAGGTGATTTTAGAAGAGTGATATTCCCAGTGTTATGCCATTATTTTACCTGAATAGTAATATATAGTATAGTAGTTGGTTCTGGCATGAAAGGTTCATTTTGTAACCTTTCTGGTGGAGGGTCCGTCAAATGGGTTTCACAGTATGGTATTAAATGTTTTTGTCTTCATGGAGACCAAACTAGACCAAGTTACAGGTTAGATCTGTGGAGAAGCAACCCCACACACAGTCAGAATGCCTGTTTTTCTAGATATTTTTGAGCTGTAAAGAAGAGCTGTTTAATGTCATACTATGGAACATCAGTTTTTAATTTCAAGATTATTTGGTAAATCTGTAACGTTATATATATTTTTAGATCATATTATAACCTAGCCAGGCTGGCCCCACCTAGTGCCTCCACTCAATTTCATTTCTCACCAGCGACTAGGTCAGGAATCGGAATACACTAGACAGTTTGCTAAAACCCCGGAAGTGTGAGTTTGGGCACCAGCCAATCAGTAAAGAGTCATACATTCTGTGTTGGCAATGTATCCCTAGATCGAGGATTTAAAGCCAGAAGAAAGAGAATGTTCGATGAGTGTTATCAAAGGGAAAGACATTATTGCCCTTCTTCCTACGGGATTTGGGAAAAACTAATATACTAGTTAGCCCCGTTAGCCGCGTATTACATACATCACGACCAAATAGCAGTGATTGGTTAAAAAAAATTGGTTGAAAAAAGTACCCGCCTTCCGTCAAGCAAATTAATTCTAACGCTGCGAGGTCAGACGGTTTCTATGAAGTGAAACCGGCTGATGAATAAGGCTAATTATAAGAATAAACCAAGAATAAAAAAAAAAATTAAAAAAAAAATATTTTGACCATTTTAGATGCAGAATTAGCTTCAGCGATTTCATTTGACCAAACATGTAAACCTAAACCTAATGCTGTTTGTTTACTTCACCTTACTTTATCATTTAGTTTGTTTTCATGAAAGTGTTCACAAAGTACATCAATGATAATAATCTGACATTATGTAAATTATCACATAAAAATCTGATATGGTCACATCCCTACAACTCAACTAACTTCACCATCAATCCAGTGCAGAAAATCAAAACTTGAAACACAAAATGATCTTTTCCTGTGTGCTGAGACAAAAGATCATTTTGGATATTACAGCACTTTAGCCTCTATTTCCTTGTAAATTGCCTCTGCTTTATATTGACTCAGTATTGACAGTCTGTGCAGGCCTAACAGACCCGATCTGGGCTCTGCAAATTAATTCAACGTTCCATTTTATCACTGCGTCTCTGAACAAGATGGATGGCCCCGACAGAAAAGATACAGGCTGTGAATTGATTCCAATCACTCTCACATCATCCACAAGCACAGCCGTTTGAATGTTATAATTTCATACATTTTTCCTTTTTCCTTCGCTCCTATAGATAAACCTGCTGCGGAGAATGAGGGTCACCGGCCTAATTACGCAGGGTGCCAAGCGGATCGGCAGCCCAGAGTACGTCAAGTCTTACAAAGTAGCCTACAGTGACGACGGGAAGACATGGCGGACATATAAAGCGAAGGGCAAAGACGATGATATGGTAAGACACTGCAGCCATCAGTGATCCCCATAGACTTTCACAGACAACAACACACACATAGTGAACAGAACCAAGGACGAGCTGGAGGACATGATGAGATGGCTTTTTAATTAGCTAGCGCACACCGGGGCCTGTCTCTCCGCCCCTGCCGTACCCCCCTCTCCACTTTTATGACTTCTAGATTGAATTTTTATACTATTTGGGGATGAACGGCCACCAAACAGGCCTCACAGCATTCTATCATCTCTGACAGCGAACTGCGCCTGTCCTCCATTTGGCTGGGCTTCCCGAAAGACCACGACCTCCAAATTTCTCTGTAAATTTATTACGCACAACAATAGCCAGGGTAGTTCTCGTTTTTTCTGAGTTGCATTTAATCTAATAGAAGCCCTGAGGTATATATATTTTTTATTCAGGACAATATAATAAAACATTAAACATAGAATAATAATAAACAAGACACAAAAAATATAAAACAACAAACCTCACATCCCTAGTCCACCCATTCCCCCCAATCACACAAATAAACTAAACATGGCATAAGAAAGCCTGTAGTATGTTTGTAAAATGACATTGTTCCAAAGATGGTCCCAAAAATTACTATACTATGGAATTTATGAAGCAGTTATAACACATTTTAAAATTACGAGCTATTATTTTGATTATATGGGAAATTTATAGCCAATTTTCCTTTTTCATTAACAAAAATTCAGGTGTTAACGTTTTGCATACCCTCTTTTTAACCAAGCAATTAGCAACTATAAAAGACAAGCAAATGCCGAGAATTTGTTATGCTCAATACATATTTAAATAAATTACTGTCTTCTGGTAATGATACTTGCTTTAATTAAAATAACATTTATGAACCACAACCATTCACTCATTTAATTATAAAATCATCAAATTATACTTTCTTAGTTTGCAGAATATGAAACTGAAATATTGTTATCTTACCTCTAAACTGCATCTGCGTTTTATTTCAGTACAGAATAGGCTTGTGGTGAGTGACTAAAAGCTTTTAAGTTTGAGCATACTTTACTTATGGCACAGTAAAATACATGGCATTTTCTCTTCCTCTCGTTTTTTTACAGTGATGTATTATGCATCAGTGCTAATCTCAGGTCATTCGGATAAAACACTCCAGAAGGTAAAGTAGCATAATTGGACCACTAATTTAGACCACACCACTGTTCTTATAAATTACAAGCTCAAATGGTGCGAAAAATTGTCTATTTTTCCCGGTAATTCTAGCTCATTGACCTTGAATGACAGCAATTTGTTGAGCGTGGAGTAGTCACTAGAGACAGTGGCAGACAGACTAGTTACATCACTGAAACAGAAAAAATCCCTTTAAATGCTTTTCTATTTTATGTTTCAGATTTTCAGAGGAAATGTGGACAACAACGCCCCATCGGCCAACTCCTTTACTCCTCCCATTGAGGCCCAGTATGTGCGGATTTACCCACAAGTCTGCAGGAGGCACTGTACTCTACGCATGGAGCTACTTGGGTGTGAGCTGTCAGGTAATTGTCTTTGTAATACTTCACTGTCAATGTAAGGTTAACACAGGTTTTAGTCAGTCCTCATCTTAAATAAATGGAGGAGGCCATTCAGGAAGAGCATTCAGGGCAAAATGTTTAAAGGAAATGTAAATGACTGAGCAACAGTTTACAGCCTTGAAAGGATGTTTGTCATCTGTGACCATATATTTGGAGGATGTAGTTGGAGTTTTCAGGTCTGCTCAAACTGTTGCAGTAAATAAAACTAGTCTTTGTAAATGAGTCTGCACAAGTCTGTCACTGGTTGTGTTCATGCTAGTGGATAGAAAGCAATACTTATTATCTTCATGCTTTTCACCTGGACACCCAGAATGCACCAGGGGATACGTGCTCTGCTGTTATGCTCACATGTAGCAGTGCAGGAGCTCTAGCCACTCAGACAATTAATCATGTTCTCCAATGCAGCTGTTTCTGTTGCTCTTGCAATAGTGAAAACGCACTGCAGCACACTGGTAAATATAACATGTACTGTGTGCATATGTGATGTGTGCTAGGCTGCTCTGAACCCCTGGGGATGAAGTCCGGTCATATCCAGGACTACCAGGTCACAGCCTCCAGTGTCTTCAGGACCCTCAACATGGACATGTTCACGTGGGAGCCCGGGAAGGCCCGCCTGGACAAACAGGGCAAGGTCAACGCCTGGACAGCCGGACGTAGTGACCAGTCTCAGTGGCTACAGGTAATGCTCGGCTCGTCTTCATCAGGTACACAAAAGACCACTGGCCAAAAGGGCTGCTTTCTAGAGTATTGCTCTTCCTTTGACGATTAGCAGTGACTCCCCCAGCATAGTAATTCATGCTATATACATGCCAGTGCATATCAATGGACTCTACCCGGCATCATCGTTGACTGCATAATTGATATACTTTACTGTCTGCTGTGGAGGGTTCTGTATCTTTAAGCTCTAACTCTATTAGCTTTCTTTCATGCCTTCTCCTTAGAAACATTGAGCAGTAGGATGCATTTCCATTTTTCCTTTAATTCCAGTGTATTTGAATAACACTCCCACACGCCTCTGTTGGAAAGTTGAGTCTTGTTATGCTCAGCTGCAGCCCACGCTGTATACACAGTTGGAAGAAAGCAGCCCATCATATTCATTAGAGCAGCTGATGGTTGTGACTGTCTGCTGAAAGGGACAAGACATGGCTCCAAGTGTACTTTACAGCACAATCTCAGCTTGGCTATGAGACTGAGAGATTCATGCAGCTCAAGGGAAGATATCTATCAGGCTCCATCATGCCCACTACGGCTTCACGCAATACCTTATATATTGAATCTTTTCTCCTTTCGTCCTTTTAGGGTAAAAGACCATAAATACCTTTGCAAGTTGCTGCAAGCTGCAAAACAGTATAGAAGCAATCACCATTTGAACGGTCAGAATGATTTCTTTGATTTGGTTCTGAGCACACATGGCCTCTCCTCAGTGACACAGTTCTCTCTGCAGTCACACTGCTCACCCGCTGTTATTGGATTGGTCAGGTCTCCAGTCAGATATGCTGGTTTTACACAGCACACTTTTGCTGAAGGTGAGGTGTTCAGGCACTGTCAGAGGAGACAGGTACTTAGCCAGTCCCAGTCTAGGCCATAGGGCTCGACTAAGCAAAATTGATTGCTGTGGGTAAAAGAAAACTAGTGGTCTCATATTACATGCTGCGCTTGTAGGAGAGGGGAGATGCTATACAGGCGCAGCCAGAAAATCAATGGCTTCCTGGGCAGGAGTCCATTTCTACACAGCCGGGCATATAAAATGTCTGTCTCTTTTACACTAGGCCTGTGTAATGTGGGCCTCACAATGAAACTGATATGGATGTTGTTATTGATCATAAGGTAATGACCATACTTACTGTCTTTCTCTGAGTGGTCACAGTGGCAAAGACGTAATTCTCAGCAACATTACGAAATGGGTTTAAAGCTGCTGGATTAATGGAATTAATCAGGGCTAATGACAAATTAAGTATTCCTATTAATCAAGACGACTGCAGAGCTGTGAGTGCTGGCTCCCAGCAAAGGCTTAGCGGACACTAGATTTTAAGCAAAAGGCAAATGGTGTAAGTGTAGCCACTGCTGAAGCGTAGTGTGCACTAATTATCAAAATACATGTTTGTTTGGTTCAGAGCAAATATTTTCATAGATTTATATTCTTACTGGTGGCAAAAAGATGAAAAGAGGAGACAATATGAATGAAATCCTTTTTTATTCATTTTTTTAAGCATAATAATTTAGCACAGCATCAAAGCTGCACATGTTAATTTGCAGTGTTACGTTCTTAGGGCAGAGTGCACTTTCTGTCTAATAAAGTATTTTTTGAATAACCACTTGATTAGCAGATAATAACAGCAGCTACACTTCACAATGACAGTGTGTATGAAAACTTCAGAGAAACCATACAAATGGACTGTTGAGAGTTTGTCTGTCTTGTCAGGAGATAAAATTACTTAGAGGGATACTAAACTATAATCTTTTCAAGATGTTTTCGAGAGAAAAGCCGAAGCTGTCAGACGAAGCTGCCAAGAGTTCCAGCTGGTATAAGCTGATTAGTTAATTACGCACATCAACATGTCCACATAGCAGAAAGTAGTGACCACAGAGACACTGTACTTTTTTTGTTTCACCATGTCAGTGTTGATACAGCTTCAGCTCTGCTTCAAATAAAGACTTGCAGCATGCTGGTAAAGAGGGAAAACAATTATTACATCCATGTTCTCAAATCACATGACATATAAATTTCTTTTATTTTTTAGGTTTATTTTGAAACAATGTTATGAAACAGTGCTCTTTCAAAAAAAAAAATTTTGTCAAACCTGTTTACATTGCGAGATTCCTCACTTCATTTGCAACTTAAAAGTGTGTACCTGACAGGATCTCAAACAACTCCTGTGGTTTGTTGAGCTGTTTTCACACACTATTATCTCGTAAATATGTGTCCTGTGGCCCGTACACACCTCTGTCAATGATCATGTAATGTGAGCTTAGCAGTCACCAGGGCCTATTATGAGAAGATTTACAGTTTATTTTACACATTATTTATTTGTGTAAACCACCCAGAAATGTTTGATGGCAATTGCTGTGAATTCAAGACCCTCAGAATGGTATGGTGTTTCTCCTGTTTGGACTCTAGTCTTAATTAAGCAAAGAGACACACAGCAATTAGGCAAACGAGTGCTGTGGAAGTGGAAACTTTCAGAGGCAGGTGGCGTCTGCTCAGTGGCGTGACCAGGGGACCAGTGTGCCCTAACTCTAACAGTAACTCATGTGCATCCTTTTAGCTCATTCTGTTAGCTCACTCCTGTACAATATTTTCTCTCAAACTAACTCATTTTATAACTTTACATTTATAAATCTTTAAATTTCATGGTATTTTTTACTGTTTACTTCGCAGTTCAAGCATTGCCTTTATTGGACAGTTCGAATTGGTCAGTGGTTAGAGAACCTCGAAAACTGTGCTCCTCCTGATTGGTAATGTAAAATAGTACAGTGGAACAGCAAGGGGTTCTCTGTATTAATGTAATATTTAAGTGTATCTTATATGGAAATACCAGAAATGAATAAAGTGTTATCCAAAAGAAATAATGTTACAATTCGAGTATGCTTGTCTGTTATATTTTTCTAACCCTGGCTAACTTTAATTCTTCTTGGCTTAAGTAGCAACCAGTGCTACTTATAGAATAGTATAAATAGATCTCAACAGCTTATATTTTACAGAAATTTGGTTATGAGCAGTTTCTTACACTGGTCTGGCCCTCCACCATATATCTGAATTTGAATATGGCCCTCAGAAGAGAAAAATTGCTGAGATTAGGCGACCATTAGGAATCTCTGTAATCCTTTGTTGCTATCAAACTGCAACGTAGTCTACTGTATTTGCATGATGCCATTTTCGCCAAGCCTTCTAATCATATAAAACCTCTGATCGAGCTAGCTGTGTTGACGACTAGCTCTTATGTCTTTTAATCAGCAGAATTAGCTTGCTGTTTGTTCACAGTGGAGAATGGCTTTAATTTGTCCCATTGAAACTCAGGGCTCTTCTCGAGTGTTTACGCAGTGAAGATAAAGACTTTCGTTCTTAAAACAGAAATACCGCTTCAGAGAGAGAGAGAGTTGAGCTTTGTGGCATGAAAGGATTTAGGATGGGATTTTGATCATCTGGAATAGTGACTATCATGTCTCTATTTCCAGAACAACAGAGCAGCACTTTGGCAAAGTGGAGATTATAGCAAACTTTCAAGGGGTATGTATCCTCAGTGTCCTTCAAGCCTTGATACTCACAAATGAAGCTATTAGTACCAGTCAGCATGAGACAGGCTCCTCTTTCACCCAGAGCTCTACAGGCACGCCATATTGATTAAGTCACAGCTACGAGGAGGAGGAGGCGTATGTGTGTTCACATAGTGCTACTTTAGGTTCTCTGTCTGTTCTCTTATTGGTTAGTCTCTGTAAGGCTGTGAGTGAGCTGCTGGATTTAGGATGGATAAAGGCAATAGAAATGTACAAAGTATGCATGAATCATTATGCTATTTTCTGATTTATGTTATAATGTTTCCTCATCACATATACCTGTATTTGTGCTTTGTTTCATTCACACATGTTTAACACACAAACCCTGCATTTTTAGGCTGAGTTTTCTCTCAAACAGATTATACTCTGCTCCAGTTTGTGATACCATGTGGTAATACAGGAAGCGCTCCACTGTGTTTTTACCTCCATATATTTTCACTACAATCATTTGGATGATTTCAGCCCTGGAATTGCCTATCTCTACTGAACTAACGGTAAAAGGTAGCCATTAACTTGAAAACAACCACTACATGACATCACAAGCATTTTGAACTTTGTAGATGCAGACAGACTAATAAACCAGGATTTCTCAAAGTTGTGTGAATAAAACAAAACACAACTCTGGTAGGTTTTTGAAGAGGCAACAAAATTCTAACATGGCTTCAAGCTCACAAGAATGCATTTTATGTAATATAGGAACTTTAAAGTCAAAATCATGATCAGGGTACAACCATCACATTGTATGTGACCAGCTTTATGAGATATAGCTTTCTGAATTTATTATAGATTAATTGAGTAATCTTGAAATCCCTAGTCTTATATATATATATATATATATATATATATATATATATATATATATATATATATATATATATATATATATGTATATGTATGTATCCATCTGGTCACACAGGAGGATTTAGTTCAAGTAAATACAAACAATCAGCAATGATGTAGTTAGATCGTTCAGTTTGTTTACATCTGTCAGTAATAATTGTCATTGAGTGCCTGTCCACACTGTTCTGCACGAATCGCAGTAGTTCGGTAGTTTTTGTTTTTTTCATATGAACACAGATGTTATAGTTGCATTGGGCTATTACACTACGACACGTCCATACAGGTTATTTAACTAATGAATCAATTACCACCAGTTTATTTTATTTATTTTACTTACCAGAAAAACTGGAAAATGGGGGGTCTTCGAAGGTCTAGCTAGCACAATTAAATGCTGAACAAGCCATGACGAACTGTAAATGAACCTATATTGCTATATATTAAGACTAATAGAACTAATTAAAAAGTACAACAACCTGAAAAAATAGTTGTCTAACAAGTGAAAATTGTTAGATGCACTCCTTGACGAACGTGATCAGCCATCACACTTACATCCACAAACAAAAT